GGGCTGGAGCCCACTCACCCTCGTAGTCGATGGTTCCGTCCCCGTCCTTGTCGGCCTCCTTCATCATCTGCTCCGCCTCCACCTCGTTGAGGGGCTCCCCGGCATTCATGAGCACGTACCTGCGGGACCTGTGCTCAGCCACTCCCTGGCCCTGCCCGTGCCCGCCTGCTGCCCACCGCCCACCCGGGCCCTACTTGAGTGTGTTCCAGTCGATGTATCCCTTGCCCTCCTTGTCAAAGACGCGGAATGCCGCCCTTAGCTCGCTCTCTTGGTTCTGGGCCTTCTCATGGTAAACTCCCATTAGTGCCAGGAAGCCATCGCAGTTGAAGAACCCTTTGTCTGCAGGGAGCACAGCTGGGGCTCAAGGGGTGGTGGGCACAGCACTGCCCGTGGGCTCTGCCTCTTCCCCCTGATGGGCGCTGAGACCTGACCCAGGGCCGCCCCCCGCGGCTGCCCGCCCCCCACCAGCGCAGGCTCACTGTCTTTGTCCACGTCCTTGGCCATGGAGGCCAGCTCGCTCTTGGTGGGGTTGATGCCCAGCAGGCTCATGAGCCGCTCCAGCTCCCCGGTCTTTACCTCCCCGTTGCCCTCCTCATCAAACATCTCAAAGACGCCCTTGTACTCCTTGATCTGCCCGGCCGACAGGCGCTCCGTCTGCAGGGGACACCCACACCGGCTTGACCCGGAGCCCCTTCTGCCCCTGTGTCCAGGGAAGGGTCGAAGGTGCCCCCTGCCCGCATCCCTCCATAGACAGCCTTGCAAGGTGAGTGGTGGAGAGGAGGCCCCCAGCTCAGAGCAGCCTTCCCGGACAAGGGTGGCACGCCAGGGGTTTTCAGGCCAGCAGGGCTCCGCCAGGCAGCTCACAGGGGCAAGGGCCAGCCAGGCAGGGGCCAGCTTTGAGGGAACGGTGGGAGCTGCAGGGCCAGGCAGGCCAGTCTGCAGCCCTGGAGCCTGGCAGTGGACACCAAGTGAGGCAGGTGTAGGAAGCTGGGAGCAGTGCAGGGAGGAGCCCAGCCCCCGCCTGGGAAAGGCTTCCATCCCAGACTATGTTACGGCCCCCGAAGCGGAGCCCCCAGCTCCAGCTGTGTGACATTCTGGAAGGAGAGTCCAGCACCAGCCACACCTGCCTGCCACCACTGCTGCCTCCCGCCTGGGACCCGGCTTCCAGAGACGGCTGCTCCGCCCTGGCCCCAGAGCAAGGCTGTGTTGGCGGCAGCAGGGCGTGGCCCCCTCTTCCACCTCAGCCCCTTCCTGCCCAGGCTCCCAGGCAGATCCTCGCACCTCCGGGCTCCAGCTCAACCCAGCCAGCCATCCCATTAGAGGCTCTGTGGGGCACAGGAGCAACATTACCATGGCGGTGGCCGTGTAACAGGACCCTGCAGGGTGGTGGCACCAGGGCTGCTGTGGGCAGAGCACTGGGCCAGTGGTGGCAGCTGAGTTTTAGCTGGGCCTGGCTGCCTGGGGTCCCTGGGGTCCAGATTCCAAGAGCCTTTTATGGTGGGAAATCCTGCTGGCCCTATTTGGGGACAGGCTCTCAGCCTCATCCACAGGGCCCCTTCCCAGCCTGCTTTGGCCTGGGCTTCCCTGACCCTGAAGATGGGCAGGAAGGCCAAGTGCAGGGGGCAGGAAAGGGCCGAGCCGTGGGGGCCTCTAACACGCTGTTCCCCTCACTGTTCCCTCTTCACCAGACCAACCTGAGTTACCTCCCCAGAGGTGGGGCCCTCCAGCAAGTCTTCACAGGACCCTGCTCCCAAGCTGTCATCCCCTGCCAGTGAGATTTCTTGCCGAAGACCAGCCTGGCCAGCTGGTGCCCAGTGGCTCAGAGCCGGCCACCCGCCCATCCTGGTGGGAGCACAGCATGTGCCAGCACATCACAAACTCTAAGGACAGGTTGAATGAACATCAGGCACCCCTTGGCCACCATTCCCGGAGGGGACAGCAGGACACGGGCTGGGGCTGTAGTGGGGGAGGCGGCAAGTCAGACGGGGCCTGGGGGCTGGGCTGCCCGCTGGAGGCCAGGCACAGCTGGGGGCTATTTTGGGGTTTCTCAGGGAAACCTGACCTCCTTTCCACTCGGAACAGCAAAGCCGGCTCCCGAGGGGGCCTGGTGCCCGGGCTGGTCAGTAAGGACATGCCGCAGTGGAGCACACGCCTGCACACGTGTGTTCCTCCTCAGGCCCGCCCTGGGTCTAATTTCCACCAGACTCCCAAAGCCAGGGTCCAGCCCCTCCCCACCCCACCCAGGCAGGGGCGTGAGATTTGCAGTTGCAGGCCGTACTGAGGGTCACACTCACACCTGCCCCCAGCTGGCCCGTTGCCGGCATGAAGAGTCTGAGCAGGTGGGGCACTCAGCGTCCCCCGCCAGCCCAGCCCTCTGCCTGCCAGAAAACCTGAAGCCACAGGATGCCTCCCGCCGAGACGCAGGCCAGCTGCTGAGACTGCAAGACTGATGCTAAGGAGGACAGGCCAGCGGCCCAGGGCACCTCAGCCAAGCAGGCCGGGGCTGGAGGACAAGCGGCCCGGGGTCTGGTGGTGCCCAGGGAGGCCCTGCCCTTCATCCTGGTTGCTCCCTGGCCTCAAATTCCCTCTGGGCTGGGGCAGGGGACAGTTCACGCACGGAGCACCTTCCACCAGGGGCACAGGATGGGGGGAGCAGCAGCACCCCGGCCAGAGCACACCCTGCGTTCCTGGCTCCAGGTCCCCAGGTGCAGGCCAGCCAGGTACAGAGACACAGGGGACTGCACTGACCTCGTGGCCCTGGGCCAGCCCGAACCCCAACAACTCCCACAGCCGGTAGACAGCCGGCTCTGCCTCCTCCGTTCCAGACCTCTAGCTTCTGGCATTCCTGGGCTAAGTCCTGAAGGTTCCAGACAGCCCGGTGGCCTGACGAGTTAAACTCAGAGCTGTGACCCCTGGAGCCCAATGTAAAGCAGCGGCAACGCCCCCCACCCTCTCCCCGGGCCTGACGACGGTGGGGAGGGGCAGCACCGGCCACAGCCACCGTCAACCCCTCCATCTGCCTTCTGCCCTGACCCACGACGCAGTGAAGGTAGCAGTCCGGGTCCTCGCCCTCTGTCCCCCTCTCTCCTTGTGCTGACCGGCCTCTGTGTGGCCTTCGGACACGCCCTGTGCCGCTGGGACCTGAGTGTCATACAGCCTTTATTTTCCTTCTTCTGTCTCTACTGATCACTGAAGGGGTATGCTCCACAAGAAAACACGTAAAACCCCGTAACAATCGGAATGCCGCCTCAGCCTCATTCGGGTGCAAGTGCAGCTGTGTTCACGGCCACACCCGGCCACACAGCAGAGCTCCAGACCTTTCATCCTGAGACTCACCCTCTGCACCCGTTGAACAGCAGGTCCCCCTTCCACCTGCCCCCGCCTACGGCAATCCCTATTCTATTTTCTGTTCCTAAGAATTCAACTACGTAGACCCTCTATCAGTGGAATCATACACTGTCTTTCTGTGGCTGGATTAATGTCCTTGAGCTTCATCCATGGTGTAGCATGTGACAGAATAAGCAGCTTTTTTTTCCTTTTTTTTTTTTTTTGTTTTTCTTTTTTTTTTGAGACAGAGTCTTGCTCTGTCGCCCAAGCTAGAGTGCAGTGGTCAGATCTTGGCTCACTGCAACCTTCGCCTCCCAGCCTCAAGCGATTCTCCTGCCTCGGCCTCCCAAAGTGCTGGGATTACAGGCATGAGCCACCGCGCCTGGCCCAAGGTAGGCTTCTGTTTTAAGGCTGAGTACTATTTTATTGTCTGGACGAAGGTGTTTCATAGATGTGATTCGTATTTAAATCAGCAGACTTTGGGAAAAGCACATGACGCTCCAGAATGTCGGGGCCTCATCCGGTTAGTTGAGGGCCTTCAGAGAAAAGACCCGTCCTCCAAGGAGGGAAGAATTCTGCTCCGAGACGGCCTCGGCCTGGAGCTGCGACATCAGCTCTTCCCTGCAGCTTCCCGATCGAACTTGCCCACACGGGCCAGTTCCTCAAAATCTCTCTCGTGTGTATGTCCTTATGCATACGAGAGACGTATGCATGCGGACATACACACACATCCTCCTGCTTCTCTGGAGAACCCAAACGATCACCGAGGGTCACCGCAGATATCACCACTGCCACTGGGGGTCTGCAGTGAGAGGACAGAGACCCCCACACCACTCTGGGACAGCAGCCTTCACTGCAAACCCACCTCGCCTGAGGCACACGGGCACAGCGTGGTCGCTGTGGCCACGGGCAGGACTCGGATGGCCCCTCTGCCTGGTCCTGCTGCCCCTTTCCTGTGGCAGGGGCTGACCCCTAACAGGAGCCCCTATCACAAACTCCTTCTGGGGGGCCCAAGCGGTGACATGATGACATGAGGGTGGTGGCCCCCCTGCTGCCAAGCTGCACCAAGGCACCAGCGGGGGGTGAAGACACCCGTCCCTGCATGTCACCTGTTACACTCATGGTGGTGAGTTGGAAGGGCAGAGGGGTGAACCAGGTAGCTGCCACCGATCAAGGCTACAAGTGACAGAGTGGGGGGGCAGCTGGAAGGGCGGGGCAGC